GGTCAGTTGTCTTGAAAGATAAAAGTATTAATATGGGATATATGATATTATAGGGAGTTTGTAGCTCGACGGATCGAGTGCGAGTGATTTTAGGAGTCGCTAGCTTTCATTACCCACGAGGTGAGTCTTCTCATTATACTGTACCCGGAAGGGTTTGACTGTGTGACCGGAAGGTCGGAAATGATATGTGTTATACGTGCTATAAATGGTAAGGTATTTGCTATGCGTGCTATGTATGTTTATATAGGCCGGAAGGCAATATGTTATGTGACTGAAAGGTCGGATATGATATATGATATATGTGCTATACGTGTTAGGATAAATGTATTATTTGTTGTGTATGTTTATGGGCCGGAAGGCAATATGTTATGGGCCGGAAGGCGATTATGTAACGGGCCGGAAGGCGTTGCGTTGTAGACCGGAAGGTTAGGGCCTGGAAAGGCGTATATGCGTAAGTAGTATACTGGGGAACTCAAAGCATTTATGCTTACAGTTGTTATGTATGTGTTTCAGGTACTAGCGTGGACCGTGGGAAGGCGCCGGCATGACGCGTACACACTGTTGATGTTTTGAGATCTTGGGGATGTTATGATTGTATTTTGATATGAAATTTGGAATAATTATATTTGGTTGAAATAAATCACTTTATTTCAGTTTAAAAATTTGTTTGAAAATTTGCGTTGTTACAAAAGGCGTTCATCTTCCACGTCTTCTCTAACATCTTTGAAGTCCCTCACCCGAACGCTGAGCTTGACAGGGAGCTCATTGACTTCTATCTGGCGGCTGCTCGTCCACAATTCCTTACTTGGAGCGCCCAGAAGATTGTAAACGTTCGGATGCTGAAACCTTATACTGAGAGACGTTTTATAAATGTTCGGTTCAAGTTGATTCGGGGATCTGCAAGAACTGCTCATCTTATCTCCCTGGCAGATCTACCGAATCTAAATCCTCATGATTGGATTGTCCTGTATAGTATCCTTTTGACTAATGAAGCTGAATATGGTCCCATTCTAGACCATGTCAAAAGGATGTTAGTCTGCTACATCATGGAGGTTGCTCTAATGGATCAGGAGGTCGCCACAGTCTTCAAGAAGAAACCCAAAATTGCTCCTGTGGGATCGGCCAGTGATCTCAATCAAATGCTACTGGGCAGGATCGACCCGAGACGCAACTCGGTTATGTTCACTAGAGCGGAAGGACAGAAATGTCTCTTCGCTTTAGCTGACAAGCATCTTTACACCACAACCTATTAGGAGCATGTGCTGTTCATTGTCAAACGGTGTAAAGAGAACTCGGCTGATGATGTCAAGTATTTTGAAGATATGATTAACTGGTACATCCGGTTTAGACAGACCATTCTTTCCATCACCAAATGTCTGTTGAGTACCGTGAAGAAGAAGGTACCTGCTTCAGCTGCTGGACCCAGTAACTAGTGAAGGTCTCGCTCCAAATTGACGCAAAGGGGGAGATTGTTGGGCTGGAGATCATTTTTGAAGATTGCATCTTTTGGGCTCGTTTAGCATAAGGCTTTCTGTATTCCGGTTTGGGCCTGTCCAACCGTGAACCTTTTATGTTTTGTATATAAGTTTACGCTTGCATGCATATTAGGTCAAGGTTTTTAGAGATCCGAGTATAGCGGTACATCTAGACGATATCAGGTTTCTTTGATCGTTCTTGTAACCTTCCAATCCTCTACAGTTGATGTTCTTAATCGAGCTCTTCTGAGGATTTTGTTTAATCATTCGACACATTTGATTCCATCTTGTCTTGTTCTTATTATTGTGTTTATATCGTTTTCGTTTACTTACTTGTTCAAGATCTAATCGATCTTTATAGATTAAAGGTTAGTTCAATCTCATCATTATTCTAATTGAATATCTACTTTACTTGATGAGACATCTGGTATATTTCATAATTATTCAAGACCTTCTATAGGTTAAAAGCAATTATTCTATTATTGAGACACACCAACATCATCACAATAATACTTCCATCAGAGCATTGTGATCAGACTTATTGGTTGGTAGGTTGTTTAGGAATGGGATTTTTTAGTTTATATAATTTATGTTTATCATTGAGTAAGAACCTCAAGGTATTATACTAGTTATAGAAATTATAATCATCAAATATTACTATCTCTGGAAACTCAACAAGAGAAAGGTTTTATAGCGGGGGGGGGGGGGGGGTAAGAGTTAGTAGTTATATATATATATATATATATATATATATATATATATATATATATATATATATATATATATATATATATATATATATATATATATATTAACAAAATTTCATTTGTTATTTCAATATTATGTCTTTAAAAATTAAAACATTTTATCGTTTCTACAACATTAATTTATTGAAGTCTAAGATCCAAGTTACAGAAAAAAAGTTAGGTGACCTTAATCTTATCCACTTAATCCAACTTGGCAGGTAGCGATTACCAATTGCATATATTAGGATCCTTTTATCTAAGTATGTAAAAGCGGTTTTCATACATACAACAACATAAAATAAGCAACACAAGTATGCATCAAAATTTGTATAAACTAAGCCATAACTAGAAATAATTTTAGTAACCCAACATAAGAAATAATCTTGATCTGCACCGTGCCTCTTCAAAGTGGTCATTTCTTCAACTTGTGCATTTAAAAAATTACAACTAGTCTAACTAATTTATGACAATAAATAAACAAATGAAAAATACATATTTATCTATTACATCTTGTGAATAAATAAATATCAACCAACAACGATACAAATTTCCTAATGGCTTGTTTATACACAACAACATATGAAATATAATAACAAACATTTTGTTTTTGTATGAAAAATTAAACAAGTTGTAATCGAAAATATATTTGGCGATTTCTTTTCCAAAAGAAATAGCAAGCATATTTTCCAAAACTAAAGTTATGAAACATTTATATAATTCTTTCTAAACATGTGTAAGAGACTCTACTACCACTGATGGGTTTTGATAACTAAAAACGATCTTTCTTTTTATCAAAACAAATTTAATGGAAAACAGAAGACCTTAAAATAACTGGTTTATTTTTAGATCATTTTAATAAAACCACCAAGAGGATCCAAATACATGAACTAGAAAGATAATAACAATCATAGGAAGTTAAGAAGATAACATTTGAAGCCTTTGATCCCACATGGAATTCGGGAGTTCCCATCTTGTATGAAGTACTTCCTAAGACTTTAAGTGATTAACAAAATTAAGCACTAAAGGATAACCACTTTTAAGAACCATTTCTTCAAATTACTTCAAAATACATGGAAAGAGGATGGGAAGAGAGAAGCTATGGTTTTGGAGTTCGTCCAAAGGAAAAACAATAGTAATTTGAAAATTGACACACTTTATATACTCTCATGCAAGTCAAAAAGGTTATACATTAAAATAATGTAAAGTAAAGACTAGAAGGTAAGCATGGGGGAAAAGGAGGAAGGTTGACAGGCAACCTCCCATGCGTCTTGAAAGTTGTGACATCATGGACAAAAAGAAGAGACAAAAGTTGTCTAGACCAATTAAGCTAACTAACTAGTTAAGACAAAAGGTAATGTCTCCAAAACATTTATACATGACTTATAGTCATACTATATGATATAATAACTAGTTTTACTCTCTTTAATTATTATTTTACAAAAAAAAAAAAATATTCCTAATTAAATACAAGAGCTGATTTAATTTATTAATAATAAATATTCAACATGTGTCAACTTGATAAAGTTGTGACCCTAAAATATAATATGTTATTACCAATATCTTTCAATAATGATGCTTAATCATATAGATCAAACAGAGCATACAAAGGTGCATATAAGGTTAGGTTTTTTAATCAGACTTGGTTTTCTAAAATCAAATGACAAGAAAAATGTATATATAAGTGTATGTGCATGTTACAATAGATTTGTTTTGGCTTTTATAGATATCCAATGGATTATTGGATGAATATGGTTAAGGTTGTTGACATGCCTATCACAAATCTAAATTGTTGTTTTAATAGACAATTTGTTTTGTTTGGTTCTTGAGTAGATAAGTAAAATGTTGAAGTTTTAAGCACTACTAGAAAAACAGCCTTTTACGACGCTCATTGCGCGTCGTAAAAGGCTCAGACGACGCGCAAATGCGCGTCAAGGAAGGCCCTGTCATAAAGAGAGACGACGCGCTTTTGCGCGTCATCTATAGACGACGCTCATTTACGACACGCAATTACGACGCGCGTTTACTACACGCAATGCGTATCAAGGAAGGCCCTGTCATAAAGGAAGACGACACTCATTCGCGTGTCGTAACCTTACGACGCGTGTATTAATGACACGCAATGCGTATCAAGAAAGCCCCTGTCAAGAAAGGCCATGTCATAAATGAAGATGACACACATTTTTGCGTATCGTAAATTTAGATATTTAAACAAAGTATTATTTATAGATTTACTAATTTTCAAATTAAATAATACATTAAAAATGTCATAATACAAAATAAAATACCATAAATAACAAAGATAATTCATTTCACTAATATATCAAATACAAATAATTATTCCAAAAGTAAGTAAATGTTATAAAAAAAATGAACTCATTTATATACAATTGCATCATCTAGCTTACTATGTGCTAACAACTCTCTATGTGTTTACTTTTGCTTGAGTCTCGTTTCCTCCAAAGCTTCTAGCCATGCCAAAATATGATACCTGTTGATATGATTAAGATATTTATTAACCCAGTCCCCACTTGCACCCACTTGCAGGCCTGACTTGGTTATCCTCAATAGTCAATTCCCCACAACTCATCTTTGAAACAAACTAAAGGAACTTGGAGTTCTGCATGTTATTTGCCAAACCAAATAAATAATATCCTGATTATAAAATTAAAAAAAATACATTTACCAATTCATATTGACCATGTCCACACCAACAACAGCACCACAGGATGGAATTGGGCATCTCAAAGTCAAACATTCAGGACCATCATTGATATATGTGCTAATGTAAGCTACCATCTTCATTGGCAAAGCATGCTTCATGAACATTGCTAACATTCCTGCAGGGTTAGATAGCAACTTGTTAGATAGAAGAAATTTAAAATCTTGATACAGAACAATTTGTTATTCACAAAAATTAAACACTTTTCCAGTTAATAAGAAAGTAAAATGGTTTCAAAAAAATTGAAGCGTTATTACCGTTCTCTTTCCTTCTTTACCAAAATTGTGATGTATGCCATATGAATATTCTTTGTCAAATCTCTCAGCTCCAACCTACATTATAATTCTTTTAAATGCTCCAGCAACATGAAAATAATTCTTTCAAATTTGCAATTCTTTTAAATGCTCCAGCAACCGGAGTAAAGTACACGCTTCTTTGAAAACAAAGGCAATACACGAATAAATTTTGAAAGGAAATTGGAACGCAATTACATAGCTACCATTTTTTTTAAGTAAAAATTAGATACAAGACTAATAAACTACAATTCTATTGAATTTAAAAAAGTAAAATTTAGATACAAGACTAGTAAACTAGAATTCTAATGAATTTAAAAAAGTAAAAATTAGATACAAGACTAATAAACTACAAGACTAAAAAAATGGAAGGATTTATCTCTCATTACCTCTTCATGTTCAATTGTCCGGCCAAATGGAATTATAATTTGAGACTCGATAAACCTTGTGGGCCGCATCTCGGGATACCCATACGGTTAGCTTTAACTGAGGAAGCAGATAAGCATTCACATTAAAAGCGGCCCATTCTGATTGATGCTCCCGTTAAAAGCGGACCAAAACAGCCGGAGGTACATTCTAGAACAAAAAAATTACAAGAATATAAGGCACTAACCAAAATGAGGGGCATTTTAGTCAATACACAACACTCACTTGAAACAACATCGAGGCCTTTTCACAAAGAACCCCTCCAAGAAACGAGATGGAATTTGAATTCTTGGTTGAATTAATCATGACAATCACATCCTCAGCACCATCATTTTATGTCCCCAAGTGCAGTTAACTCATTTTACGTTAGCATTCAACTTGCTCTTTTCCCTGCACCAAGAATTATGTTTTTTTTGAAGTCAATTCAAGTAATTTACACACACATAGACACATACATACATACATACATACATATATATATACATATACATATACATACATATATATATATATATATATATATATATATATATATACTAGGGAAGTCAAAAAGCCATACTAAGGACGGCCCAATGCCGTTTTGTATTTAATATGATTCTATAATTTTAAAGACCAAAATTAAAAATGCTACAACACTCGATAAAACGAAAGTAAATTGCCACTTCTCTTCATTTAGGCCAATTTTGGATAGTTTATGTATTCACAAGTTTGTGATGGTTGAAACACAGGTTTCTACAATATAAGTATCAAGTAGTCGACACATTATTATACAAATGGTCACTCAAGTGTGTTTCAGTTGTAGCGCCATCCATCATGTTGTCGCCTGATCTCCTTTAATTACGAAAATACCCCCACACACCCTAAACAACGGAACTAATAAAGCAAAGAATCACAGAATATGTATAAATGTGTGTGTAGCCTCCAATATATTGCATCTTAGCTCCAACTTAACAGTTTGTGGATCCAATCTTTGTAGATACCCAATTAGATGCCATTGGTCAGACCTGTTTCAGGAGTGCATCATCATGTCATTTTACATAGATGGTCATTTAATTGCTGGTAATTAATGATTTTGTTCTAGTCTATTAAAACTATATAACATCAAAGGCTACAAACTTGTTTTATATATGATGTTATGTATAGTCATGGACCTAATGGTCAAGATTAGTATCTAGACATTTTATATATATAAAAAAAAAAGATTATACTAATAAATGTGTCTCTGTGTGAGTGACCTTATTTTATGGATCTCAAAACACAAAGTTAGTCATATTCGATAGAAATTAGGAAACAGGAAAACAAATTGTTGCAATTTCCTTTTACATGGATTATTTAAGAAGAGTCTACAAATGTATGACATCTTGGGAATGCAATTGAATAATCTCACCTATATGCAAAGTTCTAAAATAGAGTAAAGTAACTTCTATAGAAGATAGATTTTGTTTCATAATTGGTAATATATTTTAAAACATGATAGTCATTTTTGTTATATTTCATAATATACTCCATTTTGTGATGTCTCTCTACCGCTTTATGAAAAAAAAATGATAAGAAAAATCCTTCATTGTCATCAGAATCTCCATAGCAATTAGTTTCATATAAAATTTTATTAAAAAGAATGTGGCTCACCTTCAATTCATCAACAGCGTTGAATGTATTCAAGAAAGCGATGAGTGCTTCAGGTGACCTCTTTGTTGGATTACTCAAGCTGACCCAACCAACTTGTTATAAACAGAAAAGAAGTTCTTCCATCCTTCATTACTACCTTTCATTTCTCTCCTTTGTGGCAACTTCCCGATGTCGACCAGGATCTAACATATTAAGATTCAAACAAGCTCCATCAACATCCAATTCTAATTTTAACTCTCCTTAGTAAAACATCTGTGAATCTACTTAGAGACATTCCAATTTTTTATTATGATTGAAATTGAACAACTAATAGTATTTAACTCAAAAGGAAATGCTTGATTTTTCTAACTCATAAACAAGAGAACTAATTATTTAACTAAAATGATATTCTAATTATAGTTAGACAAAATTGATAGAAAATAATGGCTACGTATGAAAAAAACAATTGAATAACTTGCAGAGATTATGACCAGAGCATAAGCTGTTATAAATTACTTAAAATAAGGAAAATTACCTCTTTTGGAGCCTTCGAGTTTATCCCATTTAATAAAAATGGTATGCATCGTTTGGTCAATATAAATAAAAATATGAAACAATGGATTTTTCATTTAAAACCACCACCATTGCAATGCTCAGGGAGTTTTCCATGATTTGAAGTCGGTGAAACGAAAAGATGTGCTCCTCATATGCCTATGCTTCATTTTATTTGTTCTATTAAATTACTTAAGTAATAGAGAAATACCTCATTGGGGCTATTCTCAACAACCTCTTTAATCCTCATAATCTTATTAAAGATCTGGGACTGTTCTTTGATATATTTCATCTACAAGAACTTTTATATCCCCATAAATTGTTGATTGTATAAGGAATTAAAGTAGAATCCAAAAAAGTGGGATGGGGTCATACCTGTAACATTGAGGCCACGATGGGTTTAAGGAACTAGGTTTTCTTTGATGTTCAGGGTTATCGTCAGAATAATTTGAAATTTCTGAATCATTCCTATCGTCTTCACCTCTAATGGAGTCCTTGTCTTCCTCATAATCTTCACTCTCGATGAAAAAGGCTTGATCTGATATTGAATTCTTCATTTTCTCACAAATTTCGTAGCCTTCTTTTCAGATCTCTGAGACTTCAAAGAAAAGAGGTTAATCTCGTGTAAGATAAGCTTTAAACAAAATCAACTCATTAGAATTATACTCAACTGCAATATTAATCTAACCTAGGGCTTGTAAACTTGAACAATCGTTGTAGTCTTTGGTGAGGTCAAGTGAGCCCGAGGTCACCGGCGAAAACAGATGAGTCGAGGTCAGAGGTGAGTTGAGGTAGATTCGGTAGTGGTGGAGGCGGATTAGGGTTTATAGAGAAAAGGGGAAGGAGAGAGTGACGGTTGTCGGCTGGTGGCGTGCTTGCGTTGATCGACGTCGATGACCGGGAATGGCAAGTAATGATGGTCGAAGCGGGTGGGAAGAAGTAGGGAGCCATCAATTTCAGGAGGGGAAAGAAGGAGCGTCGATAATTAGGGCAAGAGGGAAAGTAAGAAAAAGGAAGGCGGGGTTTTTAAGTTTTTAGGATTTCATTTACCCCGCCCCCCAGCTATTAAAGGATGGAACCGTGTTTCCATTAAAATTTATAAAGCGACATCTTCAGACGTCACACATTTTATTATAGGCGCCCTCCGTGTTTTTTTGTTTAACACTAATTTAAGGGCACGCAAAAATGCGCGTTCTAAATCCTTAAAATTTATAGAGAGATGACATTATTTTTTGGTCACACACTTTTGCGTATCGTAAATCGGTGCGTATCATAAATTACGCGTCGTAAAAGGCTATTTTTCTAGTAGTGAAGGTTGGGTTTGTAGTGATCGGCTTATTACATAGGTAAATTGTTAACTTAATAGAATGGTTGTTTTGTTTTCTTCTTAAGTTGATAAGTTACATGCTCTTGTTCATGTACATGTATATTTCATAGAGTTTATATACATGAAATAACAATGGATATTTTTTTCATCATACCTTATACCAAGCCTCATATGATCATCATATAAAGGAAAAATTGCAATATACTTATATTTCTTTACCCTATTATTATTTTTGCATGTCATTAACGTGACATTTATGCCATAGAATGTTATGATCAAGGGCCTGAAGGCAATAAAGAAAAATGGTGCATAAAGGGAACATAATGATCAAGGGCTTGAAGGCTAGATGATTGTGTGTGGGATGAAGACAAATATGATCACCGATCTTTCAAAAAGAAAGCAATGTTCATCATCTTATTTTAGAATCTATCAACAACATATTATTTTACAACGTACCACAGTTATTCTATTAGAATGCATCATCAACATATTTATATTTTGTTAATGTGTTTTACTTTAAGAATGTTTTTTTATATCTCATTCTTTAAGAATGAAAAATAGTATTTTTTTTTTTCTATTTAAGATTGTTTAGTCATTAGATGTATAGTAATTCATAAAATGTAATCATTTGACATTTATTAGGTTAAAGAATGTTTTGTGTATTACATTAGGTCAAGAATGGATTTTTTTTAAAAAGAAAAAAGTGATTACATATTCATAAACGTATTCTTTCATAATTCACACCATACTCATAAACATATTTTGCTAGAATATCCAAATTAATAGAATCATTATCCATTATAATCAAAATTTTAAAATAAAGAGAATCAATTATACCTTAAAATTTAGAAATTTTCTTTTTTTAAATCTATTTAAATTTACTAAAATACCCTTACAATGATATTTAAATTAATAGAATCATTATCCACTATAATTAATATTTTAAAAATAAAGAGAATCAATTATACCCTAAAATTTAGAAATTTTCTTTTTTTTTAAATCTATTTAAATTGACTAAAATACCCTTACAATGATACTCATGTGATTATGAGGTAAATGTTATTCCATTGTAAAATCATAGACCTTCAAATCATAGAATTTTATCCTTTTCATTCATTAGACTAGATTTTTCTTTACGACCACATAATAGATGTCATCGATATTATATATATATATATATATATATATATATATATATATATATATATATATATATATATATATATATCAGTGTTGTAAAAATCCTGATTAGGTCCCGATTAATCTCTAGGTGCTACCCGGCCTATTAGAGGGTGTCTAGCGATTAATCCTTGCTTACAAGGTGACTAAAATAGTAGAAAACGATGAAATTTTAATACTTTGAAGAAGTTCTATCTCAATAAAAACCATTGAAGGAATAATTAATGTTGTATTAATCATATTAACCTATTTTATTAATATATTAGTGGTATTTATGAACATTGTTATGATATTAGCCATATTTAATTTTTGATAATTTAACAAGTTCGTAATTGATAGTCCCCAATTAATCCCCGCCTAACCGATTAATCCCATAACCCCAATCCACCAACTACCTAATGTCGAGCGTTTTTTACAACCTTGATATATATATATATATATATATATATATATATATATATATATATATATATATATATATATATGTGTGTGTGTGTGTGTGTGTGTGTGTGTGTGTGTGTGTGCAATTTTGGTGGATGTTTGCAATTACACTTATCATTAGTCTATTTTGTAAAATGATATTTTTCACCTGTCTACTTTTCAAAATATCGTTTTAACGCATTCACATTGAACTTTGGAAAATGTCACTTTCACTCATTCCATTTCTTAAAATTTAGTTTTTGTCACACCCCAAAACCAAGAACGGCAGAAACGTTATGGGGCGGAGGACATCATGTATAGTATCACAACACAGTATAATAGCAAACAAGTAAACATCATCATCCATTACATTAAATATATATTTTTAATCCAAGTGTGTTCTGTGGTTTATAAGACACCAAAAATATGAATCAAAATAAAATATGAGTCTTGTATGTGCTCCATCTTTTCAAAAGATGGCCTCGGTACCTGTCTACTGATGACCTGAGAATACAAGTTATTTTGAAAGAGTTTATCAACATTAAAGTTGGTGAGTTCATAAGTATTTAGTGTCAATGATTTTCATGAAAATGTTTGTATGAGTTTGAGTGTAAAAGTATGTAAAATGTTTGTAGTAATCGTTTGTATCCCTTAGAAAAACCTATATTTTCCATTTAAAGCAGCCTTCTACCAAGGCATCAAGTGTACTGTATGTTTCTTCTTTGTAAAAGTGAGTATTTTCCCAAAACGTGACTATCATTATTGAAAATATAGTTTTTACATTACTCTTTATTGAGAGGAGGTCACAAAGTAGATGTAAAAAGGGAAATAATGAAGTATTGTAGTATAATAATATTATTACTACTAATGTACTAACTACCTTAATCCAATTGTTAATTAAGGTATAATGTGATATAATTGTAACCATACTTGATCGACCTAGTGAACCACGATGATGTAAGACGTCTAAATGTTATGAAATTCATCACCCGTAGACCTATAGGTCCCACTATATCTAGCAGCAAGGTGTAGGACGGTCAGTCCAGTATAGATCTATACATGAATTCACGCTCTCCCTCCAGGAGATTTCGGATACAATACAAGCCATGACAGAGATGTCATGCCCCAAAGTAGTGCCTCACATTTATGTTATAGTGTGTATGTAGTATATGTCTTCCCTGATTCTCATCATTGTATGTTCTCTAGTATAGTATATAGTGTGTATGAATAGTATGTACTAGTGTATGTTTTCTCTAAATCTCATCATAGTATGTTCAATTGTATAGTGTCGTGTATGTATTTTTAATAGTGTGTAGTAACTCATGTATGAACTGACTCTTTGTATGTTTCTTTGTACTAGTAGTAGTAAGTAGTATAACCCTAAACTATACCTATTATAATTTAATAGTAATGTTGAATGTATATCCGAGTGTACTGAAATAAGATAACAAGCTTTTATGTCTATACATATATACAGGATATATACTAAGGATCAAACGACACTCGGACAAACAATAGGGTACTCTAAGTCCACAACCAAAGAAGGAACAGGAAATAGAGTGTATTATCAGTCCTAAGTCCTTCAAACCTTATTTATATAACTATATATGTATCGGACATGATTTGACAATAAAAGAGTTTAAAGAATTGAAAGTAAAGATTTGTAAACTAAAACCAAGTTTTATAAAGAGTTTAACATGTAAAAGTGTTTGGTAATCATTGGCAAGTACTTTTGTTGATAAAATAGTTTGAAGTGTAGTAAATCCATTTGTATGTTAGTTATTAATCACATGTGATTGATATAATAACTAGTATGATTCAACTTGTATTCCCCCCCCCCCCCATAAAAGTATTTAAAAACATTTAAAAGGTTAATTAAGGGGTATGAACTCACTTGTAGTGAGTGGATGGTACAGAAGTGTTGGACAAGGTGCTAGGTGTCAAGTGAAGACTTGAACAGACACAATGATCCTAAATAACATATGATAACAGATATACGTATCCAATTAGTCATTTAACAACTAATTAACTAAGTTAAAACACCCTAGGACATGGAAACACCTTGATTCAACTGCTATAGTTACCAAAGTGTTGCATTTAAAGGTTGTGTGGCATGTCATTGGAGTTTATGGCCCCAGGACCACTCCTTAAGGAGTTTACGGTCTAACGTCACTTCCCCCATGAGTTTACATCCGTAAACTCATGATACTTAGTGCCATTTGGTGATTTAACGTTTTATAAGTCAAGAGTAAGCATTCTATGATCATGTCCAAGCCTTAGGAAGCATTAGGGGCACAATATGACCTCTTTATAGAGTTTACGGCCAATGGACCATTCCTCATGGGTTTATGGCCGTAAACTCTATGGGTTCATGGTCTTTTTGATGTTTAAGGCCCTAAACACTTCAAGGAAGTGATCTAGACAAGTATCCAAGGCCAATGAAGGGACTAGGGTTCATTTTGCCCCAGTTATAAGGGTTTACGGCCCAAGACCATGCGTTGGCCGTAAACACCTTTGATCTTATGTTTTCTTGGTGTTTTCTAAGTGTAAAAAAGTTCATTCAAGTACATAACAAGCTAGGAAAAGTGTACTTACAACATAGAAGCTTGATTGGGTGTTTAAGGTCCAAGA